TTAAATGTTTTCATAGGCCTGCTCAAGGAAAACCGTGAATGTTTGTGTGCGAGTGCAACATTATAGCAAGAGGTGACCTCAGCAGTCGGTTGTCCCCCACCCACACAGACAGACGCACGCATGCATACACAAACACACACACAAATTTGTAGCTGAAACCTCAGTGGAAACTCTTCACTCAGCTTCCTTAAGTGATATCTTTTTAAACACAACAAGCAGTTACTCCAAACACAGTTCATCCATATTATCTCACCATTAAACACACTCCCACAAACACAAACACACACACACACACACACACACACACACACACACACACACACACACACACACACACACACACAAAGGCTCGGCAGTTAGGACCAGTCTATTCAGCAAGGTTATTATTCTTCTTGGAAATATGAAAGGCCTGATGTTCTGTGTAAAACACCTTGGTTGTTGCTTAGCTTCATTACAGGTTACGGCCTGTTCTGTGTCCTACAGCTCCTTAAATAAGTGTGATCTGTCTGTATGATACAGCTATGGATTAAGGCCCCAGTGTGTCTGTGAGCTTTGGTTTCAATATGTGCACAAGCCTATGAAGCTACAGTAGGTCAGGTATAAAGCAGTCAATCAGTAAAAACAACGCTCATCATGGAGACCACTATAAATCTATTTTTGTTCAGTAAACTTCTGATATCAGTTAGCTTGGTGAAGAAGTCTGTCCTCCTATTGTCCTTTCGAGCTGGATTGATTTAATGGATGCTTTGTTAGTGCTATCACAAATTTGTGTGAAGTCAGGCCAGTGTTTCCCCAACAGGGCAGAAGAAAGGGGTGAGAAAGGAAACAATATATTAATTCTTGTTGCCTAAAACTTCTCAGTTTTTTTATGTTTCTTACTGTGAAATACTGAATCATTTTACCTTTTCTGGCCAAATACAAATATTTCAAATTAAACAACCAAGCTTGATGATTGAGCTACTCATAATTCACCCGGCTTTTGTATGACAACAACAATTTCTGTTGAGTTTTTTCCTCTTTATTCTACTTTTCTTTATTGTATGATATTTCAAAATTTGTTGCTGCAACAACCTTTTTCTTTGTCCTGGATCACTCTTTCTTCCTATTTTAGCCACTTTGCTGGCTCTCTAATCCATATACAATTAAACATGGCTTGTGCCTTAACACCAATCAGTTGCAGGCAAAATAAACACATAAAGAGCGGGTGAAACGAAAGAGTACTGAGGAAAGAGGTGAACCGGGTGTTTATATTCTTTGAGAGCGTGAGTTGAGAGGATAAATAATCGGTGTTAAAGAGGACAAAGGGAATGTTTCCCTCTCCCCACACCTCCTCCATCTCTCCTCCTCCTTTTCTTTCTCTACATAGCAACATGGTGAGTCATCTCTGGCAGGAAGTATCAAGAAGCTTGTCGGTGCAAACTGGAGAGGGGAGCTGAAAGAGAGAGAGAAGAGGAAGGAGGAGGAGGAGGGCGGACAAAATAGGGGAAATGTAGGAAGAAAGGAAGGAAGGTTTTTGATGGGAGATTCCCCGGCTGTGTCAGAAAGGGGCTAAGTCAGGAATTCTTAAGAAACTTCCGCCATTAGTGGAATTTCAACATGAAAGAAATGAAAAAAAAACAATCCTCAGTGGAGCAGAAAACTCATCGTATTTCAGCTGTAATTTCTCATCAGGATATCACAACAACAGCAGCATTTTACTGTTTTAGCCTTAAATACCTACTTACTGGAAAATTACAAAGGTTGAAAAGGAGCCAAAAAACTGTGAAATTCAAAAACCGCAGACACTTTACTGACAGTGATTTACAAGATCGCACTAAAACGTCAATATAATCCAAAGATTCCAGAATCTGGGTCTTCAGGTAAATGGATTCATTCAGCATGACAGGAGCACAAACAAAGACCAAAGATCACACACACTGAATATAGGCTATATTTATAAAATGTAAGTTATCCCACCTGCATACACTCCTGCAAAACATCTGAATGTTTAAAAAAATTAACAGATTCATCAATGAATCGTTTTTCAATTTTTGCTAATCATATCAGGGAAGTTTTTTTAAAAAAAGAGAAATTTTTGGCTCTTAAAGGTATTGTGGACACAAACAAAACACTTTCAGCCATGCTAGGCCAATGTCAGTCGTAATTGTAATCAGAAAGTTCGGGTTGTTAGGAACCATTTTGTGCTGATTACGAGAAAAACAAAAGCATTTTTCATTTGTTCAGTAACCTGTGTTAATGTTTTCCCACCCAAGGATCTCTAATGACATGATCAAAGCGAATGTTTTGTTTAGTTGAAATTGTATTTATACTGCCTAAACCTTAACTGTAGTAGCAGATTGGGAACTGATCATTTGAATCATTGTTGTAATGGTTATGGTAAGATAGGCCCACCAGAAAACATTTGTGTTGCTTTTGAAGGTAATGGTGACCTATTTTGTTCAATACAGATAACACATATTATTTGCAGGTGATCAGTGCAAACTATTCAGTGAAGCAGTTTTCCCAAAACCTAACTGCTAAGATCTAAGATCTAACTTCTAGTAGAAGCTTTTCTCTCTTTCTGAAACAGTATTACAGGAATACTTGAAAAGTGAAACTGAGCAATAACCAAGTAGAGTGTGACAGTGAGGTGATTTCTGAAGATCGGCTCGAGGCCAGACAGTGTGACTTCAGATGCTAACTTGAAGTTATTTCTCCAGAAACTACTGTGATTATTTTAGTTCCAATTATGGATGTGTTTCTCTTGCTTTGGAGTGTTATTTAAAGAATTGTGTTGTTTAGTTGTTTGTGGCTGTGTCTTAACTGCCCAATTATCTCCCCACTACATCACTAACAAGCTTTCAATTGTTTAACTCTGTTGTGAAAACTTTATCTGGCGTTATTGTTTGATGATAATAGAAATGTATCGTATTGTTACATAAAACTGTCACTCTTAGTACATTGTACAGTAAAATTAAACTGTGGTTTTGTATAATATCTACATACTTCAGTTAAACTGTGAAAATGTCTTTGTGTGCGCTGATACTCAGTTATCGTTCCATCGCTGAGTAATATGAAAATCCGTTAATGAGTTATTTGAAAATCTCTGGGGCTCATTTTGCCTCAAAGCTATAGGATTAGGCTATCCAGGATTAGAAAAGTATTTGAAGCATTTGAAGTATTTGTGTGGTGGGTAACACCCAGAGGCCCGGCCGGGTGGAGCTGCATTCAGGTGCAGAGTCATACATCCAACACCTGTGAAGTCGGTCTTTTACTATTACCAATCTCGGCTCTTTCCCACACCGCCCACTCCTTCAACAATGACACTTCAGATCACCTTTCAGCTCCATTCATACCTACATTCATATTACATGATCATCAACATGCCACACATACAGGAGGAAGAACAGAGATTGGAACACCATGCAACAATGACTGCATTTCTGATATGACAAAAGAAGGTGCAGCATGATATCATCTGCGAAACATCCAATCACATCAGCCGGTGCTTTCATTGTGGTCCAGCAGCTTCTTTTTACAGGAACATGAAGGCCCAAGTCAGGGGTTTGGGGTGTGGTCTTTTCTTTTGATACTGTAGTCACGTGGGATCATAAAATATGCTTTTAACACAAACTTAAAAAAATGTATGCAGTACTTTCAGTTTATTTTTAACCTGCTTGCAACCAGGCAAAGGGAGGATCAGTATATCCAACCCATCGGATCGCATAAAAAAATATCTTGCAAATACTTGCTGTTGAAGTGAAACTGGAACTTTTGATTTGTAATAACAGCAAATAACCAAAAATTTGGTCTTGGAACTGGGCCTCTCTCAACACTATGTGATTAGGTTTAGTCAATTTGTTTTTAAAAATATGTAATTGTTCCATTGTAACTGTTTTTGGACCAGTTTGACGGACTGGGGCCAGTCAATTGGCAAGCTATAAGAATGGATGCATACAGAGCGATGATTTGAGCTTGGGTTGTTGCCACTCTCTTTAGGAGCAGGTATTGTGCAGGCATAGGCAGGTAGGTTTTCCTTTGGATTTCAGAGTGTCTGGTGACAATGTATTAACTAGCCTAGACTACAACAATTTGAACCTGAAACTTGCAACTGACCTTTGAATTTATTTAACTCATGACCTTTTTTCTCGAGCCAACCTCAGGACAAACAGACCAGACAGTCATTGTCATTGTAGAGTGTATATTCACAACCTTTTCTCCCATTAATTACGCACAGGTTTTTTTTCTCATTACATTGTGGGGATAAATGCAATCACTGCCTGCTTATGGTCACAGGCAATGTTTTTCCAACTAAACGAAGGTCTACATTTATCTCAGTGGCTCGTGGACTATTTGGCACTGAAGTTCAGACAGGTTAGGACAAGAGAAAGATTGTGATTTCTCTTAAATGTTAAGAAAGTACACATGTTGAGTCACTGTTGACTTTTTTCTTATTAAAATCAGACCAGTATCTTTCCCAAACCTTAACATTGTGCTGCTAGTGTCTAAACATAAACATAAAAAAGTTTAATAATGTAGTTGCAACAAGTGGATGTTGTAGATTTGAAATTTTGTCAGTGAACATTTTACTGATACTTTCAGTAGCAACATTTTCTCACGTTGATAGTAAATGTTATCCGACGAGCATTATGTATGTTCTTCAAAACGTATTTGCTGTTGAATATACGTAGAGGACTGGGTTGATGCTGAACACATGTAAAATCTGAGTCTGTTTAAGTATTTTTTCAGAGTTACAAAGGGAGAGAGTTATACTCTTATTCAATCTCTTTATCTCTTTGTACATGGAGCATACAGGCACACCCTGGACACACTTTAAAAGGAATCTGATGAAAGGGGATCTTCCCATCAGTGATGAAACACAGTTTCGAAATAAAGAAGCGTAAAACTTCCTTTTCTCTTTTCAGCTGAACATCGGTTTACTCAGCAGGAAGCAACTCATATTTTTAAGTCAAAAGCCCTGATTTTTTGCCGATCAAAATCAATGCAGGTATAAAACTTGATATTATCATTATTATCATTATATATTTTTGTTATTGTTTCCTTATTATTTTGTTCTTTTGTGTAAGTGTGTGTGTGTTGTACAGAGCTGTTTTGGTGATGATTACTATTATTATAATCAGTAGTAGTAATAGTAGACACGTTTTTATATTAATATTACTACTATTATTGAATTAGAATTGCAAACTCATATTTTTATTTAATTGGGAATATTATTCAGTAATTAATTAATTCAGCTACAGATACACAATTATTCTGGGTTTGAATAGAATGATTTGTTATTATACCATAATTATCCCAAAAAATATAATGACTTTCTTTATTGTTACTTTGAATGTCAAATATTTAAGCAAAGCTGCGTCTGTAAACACCATCAAGATTACACTTCCTTAAATCAGTTCTTCCTCTTCCTGCTCAGAGGTAACAGACCTTTAGAGCAAGGACAGGAATGTTGGTAGAGAGTCAGAAAGACTCATTCACACATTCAACAAGCATAGAGATGGGAAAAGATTTTACTCAACAGACTGAGTGGAAAACTACAGGAAGATGACAGAAAGGAAGTTAAAAAGTTTAAATCACAACATTTATTAATAAAAAAAAGTTAATTTAGTTAAAATAAAAATGATAGCAGTGGTCTTTAAGTAGAAATCATCCCATCAAATACTAAATTAACCTCTGTCGGGCTCCACTTCGTAGGGTGTTACAGTGGTTTAACTGTATTAGTTTAATCAATTAATGGTTATCAAAGTTTATAATTATCAAAAGATAATAGAAAATGACTTTAATTAATCTTAAAGATCCTCGGGGCACCACCCTTAAATAAGGGAAACGATATATATATATAAACATAAGCATTTATTAAAGGAACAATAAAGGCAAACAGAGGAAAATACACTGTATACAGTACAATCTAACTTAAAGGAACTAAGCTAGAGGAAAAGGTCTGTCTGTGTGTACGCGTATTGGGGGTTGCGCGACAGAAAAGGTGTGTGTCCTTTGTCCTCTGACCAGATGTTTCAGGGTATGAAACACGTGTTGGTGAGAGACAAAGAGTATGGAGGAGCGGGAGGGTTTGAGTCCCTCTCCTCGTGTGTGTGCTGAGGTTTAGGCCAAATATGTGTGTGTGATCTTAGATTAACGGTGCCGTTAAAAGGAGTTAGTTGCATGCAAAGACAGTGTCTGTGTGAAGCATAACATTAAACTAACATCACCTTGTTGAGTTATCTGTCTATGCCCATTATGTTACCGACAGTCCAAAGGACGATGAAGAAGATTTGCCGGTGCTGCGTGGATCAGCTGGAGATTCTGTGAGCCAGGCTGATCAGAATTGTGGTTCCAAACTGTCTCTGTGTCCTGTCTGGCTCAGGTAGCAAGAGGAAAGGCGTTTTGCTCGTTGCTCTGCAGAGTTAACGACTCGGTGTTTACGTTGCGTTGCTCAGGTAAAGTCGGCTGGCAGACTCTTTTTAAAGCTGCAGATGTTGACAGCGGTGCGCTGGCCAGGGATCGCAGGAAAAAGCAGGCTCTTGTGCCGTGCTATAATCCTTTGTCGTGCGTTGGTGGCGGGTCGGGCCACGCTGAGGTCCAAAACATATCACCCGTGTGTGCGAGCGAGATGAGCGAGGAGCAAAGGGAAGAGAGAAGAGAGAGAAGAGGAGAGTCTCTCGGGTATAATTACCTGGGATGACAGGTCTGGGGTCCGAGGGAATCTGACCAATGAAGGGCCGGTGTTTAGGCTTTTATTGCTTTCATGCCACACCTTGGCCGCATTCTTGGCCCCCCGCTGAGGGGTTTGTGATCTGGCGGGCCCTTTTTCTTTGTCTTCAGTCACTATGAGCAGGCTTTATTGCTTACATAAGGGCCTCACTGTAGTAATGACCATTTCTTTGTTTAAGCACGGCATGGCAGGGCACATGGCCAGATCCCAACACCCCCAACCTCAAAATTACATTAAATCCATAGATACATTTACTTAAATTAGACAATTAAACAGTAAAACTTAATTTTGTGATAATGTCCAGCTGGCCGAAAGCAGATCAGGGATTTAATGCTAGAGGCATCTGTAAAGTGTTGAAATATGCAACTAGGAGGGGAACAAAAACAAGCTGAGACACATTGGAAGCTCAGCTCATCAGTACTGTTCAGAGAACTTGTCTGGTGTGATTCTTAGAAGTCAAAGTGGGACAGGTTTCATCAACAGGTGTTATATTAGTCTAGTTTCAGTCAGACTGGCCAGAATAATGTCCCTTACAGGGAGAGTCTGGGAAGGTCTAAATTACATTATAATCCCTTCACACTTTGGCAAGACAAAGAAATCAATACAAATTGCTTCACGTAGCCATTACTGAAAAAAACATTTCATTGTCCCAGGCTCCTTTTAATCATTTCAATAACTTTTAATCATTTTGAAGTTTTGTTTGTTTTGTAAAAATAATTTTACAAATCAAACAATCAATTGGATAATGGAGAAAATCCAGTCCAATCCAATCAAAATGAGTTAGTATTAGTTGCAGTCCTATACAAAGTAGATTTAGAATGAGCTCCACATCAACAAACTACAACAGTAAAATCTTGCTTTTACATTACTGATTTATAGAATGATATCACATATAATAGTATTTTTCTGCATTGAGTACTTTTACTTTTAATACTTTAAGTAATTATTCTGATTACACTTTTACATTCTCAAGTAACATTTTAAATGCAGTACTTTCACATTTGAGTAAGGGTATATTTACGGAGGTATTAGTGTTTGTACTTGTGCCAAAAGGAGGGAGACCATGTTGGCGTGACAGTCAAATGGAATGTGTCCAGATAAATCTCCTTCTGACCTTCAGTCCTCCTCCTCCTCCGCTTTTGTTTGCCGGAATGAATCATACAGTATGTGGGTTAATGGTGATAACAGTGTGTAGTGGTTTTATGAATGAATCCGCAGTAAACATTGTGGCATCAGTGACGACTACCGCAACCCAGAAATAAACGTCTCCTCCTTCTCCTCCACGCTGAATAATGACCTTTATCTGGACACATGTGGATGACTAAGGAATTATTTTCACACAGCCTCTGTAGAAATGTGTGGTTTTTGAAGCAAATGTGGATTACATGATATGATTTTAAATTAATGGGGAAAACAGAGATGAGTCCTAAACTCATGTGTCTTTCCAGAAACAGTTACTCTGCAGTATTTTCTGCCAAAGCAGTTTCTCCTCTATGTGCAGATACAACAGATTTCAGTTGTGCTTAAGGAGATGCACAAGATGTTTTCTTTGTTTTTTAATGTTAATTTTGAAAGAACATTAGTGCCTGTCCTAAATGAAATGTGTCTTTGTTTGAAGAATAGAAATGGGGACATGGACTGGGTCAGACTTCAGCCAGTTGGACTATGTCCATCTGTTAAATAATCTGATGCTCCACCAGGTCATTTGCAGGTTTTTCTTCCAAACACTTGACATTGCAGATGCTGATTTCAACCTGACAGAGAAGGAACTGAGCTGCAAACAGTTTGTCTTCACCAAAGCTCAGGTCCTACTGTTTTAGTTTCTTCTGTTATCATAAAAGTTTACCTTAGCCTTTTGAACTCCATAGTTATGTCTGCAAATGATGACTTATGACTTCTTAAATTGTCTTGTTTTGTCTGACTTACAGACAAAAACCCACACCCAGGGGACCCAAGAACCTTTTGAGGAAACAAGGAGTTAAACCTGTGTTTGGACTAAACTGGGGGCTAAATGTAGTTCCTGTAGTTAGTGTAGTAGTAGTAGTCCACTGGAAATTAATGAGTAAAACCTGTTTCTTCACTGTTTGCTCATAATGAAAAATAAGCCAAGGAATGCATCAAGCATGACACTGCAGTAAAAAGAAGTGCCCAGCCAGTCTTATCTTCAGATGATCCAAGTGATTGCTGTGAAGCCATCAGCAGACCTTTAAGAGCTTCGTTAAGAGGCTGCATGTGAGGAGATGTAAACCAATGATGAAGTAAACGACTAATGACGTCGATGTTTACTGTCTGTTGTGGACGGAGCTGCTCTCACAGCCACATTTGGGCAAGTTTACATGCATATTTGGACGGTGAAACGATGCTCTGGTTCCTGTCAAAGCTTGTTATCAGTTGTTTGACTTTTACTGCTCTCTGTGGATGACCTGCAGGAGTTTCTGTCTTCTCCTGGACTCTCCTTCAATTCTGCGTCTCTCTTTTAAGTTACTATAGTTGCTAACTTTGTGATACATTGTATTGGCCCAAGACATCTCGGATTATAATTTGTCTTGACCCTTAACTTCCTTCTTCTTTGCAAATGTAAAAAATAAATACTGACACATGTATTGCTTGTCAAAGTATGCTTAACAGTGCAGCTAACTTCAATCATTATTTTGTTCAGTTCAATCACACTGACTCCCCTCTCAAGCTTGGAAGAGTTACAAACATTTTTCTCGAGGCTCACCATCTTAAAATAGAACCAATGACAATAACTTCTGCAGGTTAAACTGGGGTTACTGGACACTTTTGGGGCAAACAACCCATAATATAACACTCTTTAAAGGTTATTGACTCAGTAACAAAAGATGTGGCTCTTGCTCCATTCGAAGAGAACAATAGCAAAAATTGAAGTTAAGAGATAAGAATACTGTAAAAAAAATCATCCATATAGGGAGCAAATCAATTCGCTGATTATTCATTTGCTGCAAATGCCAGGAGATTGGCTAAGGAGTGTTCCTGCACAAAAGAAAGTACCAAAAAACACATGCTGTTTGGATCCAAGGACACATCATGAGACCAAAAAAGAAGAGAGGTAAGACTTGTGTTTTGCTTTGTGATCAATAAGTAAAATAAGTTAAATGAAGTGACACTGATTTTCTAATCCAAATGATGAAGTCTCTCCATTCAGCTGCTCGTTTAAATGAAGCATTTATTCTTTGTTTCTTTGTCTTTTCAGTGCAGATGGCATCATATATTAGAACAACAGTTTTGTCCTTAACAAGAAAAGCATGCTGCTGGTATACGAGACATCAAAATGAATTCAAACTAATACACAAAGTGTTTCCTTTCACATGTTTTTTTCTTCATCACTGTTCTTTTTCTCTTCAGTTTATGATGATAAGAACAAATATTCTCCATTTCTCATGCAAGTCAAATTTTACAACAAAAACAATATACATATATATACACAAATACAGAACAAAGTAAAAGATACACATGAGAACACACAGCTACATACATATTGAATCATGCAAATATTCCACAGGCTGGAAACATGTTTTTACACAATAAATTCACAGTAAAATACTACTGTTGCAAATGCCGGTTGCATTTGGTTCCTCAGTGTCTATTTATAATCTTCATTTTAAATTTGCAAACAACTGAAGTTCCCCAAACACACATATCCTTTTCAGCAGTTTTTGTTACATTCCACCAACAGAAAACCATATCAAGCTATGATAAACAATCTGTGTCTAACATCCAACTACAGATGTGCTTCACTGTTCAGACACATCTCTGCCATCTGCTTTCAAAGTGCAAAGGGAAACGCAGCAATGCAGGGATTTGAACTTTTATAGCATTCACTTAGTTACACAGTGTGTAACATTTAGGAGCAGATATGGTCAGAAATGGAATACAATATTCATAGGTAGTTTTCATTAGCGTATAATCACCTGAAAAGAAGAATCATTATGTTTAAGTTCCTTAAAATTAGCTGTTTTTATCTATAGACGCTGCAGGTCACGCTCCATGGAGTCCGCCATGCTGAACAGCTTGTTTAATGCCTGCTTCTTTTGAAAACACTGGGACTAAACCAGACAGGAGATGTGCTGCAAAACCACCTTATTTTCAAGATAATTGATTGAGAAGATCTTCTGGACCACAAGCTCAAAAGTTGAACACATACACTAAACAACAAGTTGATCTGCAATTGATGGTTTAATGTCAATGTTGAGGAGATAAAAACATACTCATTCAACATAGGGGAAAGCAGCCTTAATATACACACACAACATTCCAACATGAATTAGATTTCACTAAATAAACATCCTGCTTAACAATATTTCCCACATCATCGGAGGTCACTAATATCAGACGCATCCTACAGCTCATTAAAATACCATTAACGTATAGCAAGGCCTCCACTATCTGTGTGTCTGTCAATATGATACTAAGATTGTAAATGAATACATGAAAAATACTACTACACTACATCCTAACAATTATTTTTGATTTAGTCTAAGGGCCTGTCCTCACGAATACGCGGCCTCACCCAATACGATGTCGTTTCGAAAAAAATCTCCGTAAACACAGCGTCGTTTCCAGAAATATCTGCGTCCGCACGGATTCACTGACAACGACCCAAAACCCCTGTAGTACTAATTTGTTTTCGCCGTCCAGACGACTCCGGACAATCCGGCGTTTTCGGATTTTCCCACTCTATTTCCTACTCTGGGACCCGTTTCCAAAAAAAAACTTTTTCACACCCCGAAAACGCTGTATGGACGCGAGGCCGATACGATAAAGTATTTATCCGGATTCGAGAAAAACGTATTCGTGAGGACAGGCCCTAAGGTTGAAATCAGTTTGGGGATGTTGTGGCTTTATGGTAACCATTTTAACCACTTGGAAAATACATATGAACGATGTTTCTCACTGTGTTATATGACACTATTACAAGTTGAACAGTCAGACTTTGTTTAAACAAACAGAACCTCACTTTAAATGATTTCTACAGATACTAAACTTGTCAGGCTAAACAATTAACAAGAGATTAACCATTTCCAAATTGTATTAATGGTGGCTCGGGTTTTAATATTTCCCTCATTCTAAATAAGAAAAAAAAAACATCGATATGATATTTGGTCAAAATGTCAAAGGATGTTACTGTATGTGTCAGCAGGATGAAATTCACTGTGAAGAAACATGAATCATTGAGTAACGCTGGGCTTTTGCTGTGACAACACATACTGCACTGACATCACTTCCTCCATATGACTTCCACACTACATGATACTGTATGTGAGCAGAGGGCAAACATAGTTCAATGTGTCATAAAAAGAAATAAAATGTATTTGACTGCAGAACAAATGTTTAGTTTTAGCTATGCTGACATTCAAGGTCTATAGAAGATGAGCCCTAAAGACTTTGGTGATCCTTTGAGTTTTTCAGACATTCTGTTTTGTGTAAAAAACAATAAAAGAAAGAAAAAGAAACAAACAAACCAACCAAAAAAACTACTGGATGGATTGCCATGAAATTTGGTTCAGACATCCAGGTTCCCTTCAGGATGAATTGTAACCTTTGGAGATCTAACACCACCATCAGGTTAGATTGTTAGTTGGTCCAGTGCCTGTAAGTACCTGCAAAACTAAAACCATACCCATCAGCCTCATCTGTGCCTTGTGTTTACTGCTAATAAGCAAATGTTACCATGCTAGCGGGCTAAACTAAGATGGTGAAAATGCTGAGCATTATACCTGCTAAATATCAATATGTTAGCATTTAGCTCAAAGGCACTGCTGTGCTAAAGTACAGCCTGACAGAAGTGCTGTAGACTCTCCGGCTTGTTATAGAATCATCTGTGATTTTAGAGACACTAAAGTACAACAAACAGAAATAAAAACTCTTTAGTTATAATTCTAAAAATAAACCAAGTGGTAGTAAACAAACACTAATCATCACAACAGTCATTGTTATATAATTGTTGTCTTCTTCTTGGTTTGTTTGATACCCCGTCATTAGTCTAAGTTGTCCTACTTGTATATTTTTTAATTACTATGCTTGTATACTTCATATGACACAGTCTACTCTGTGTCCTAAATATTTAGATCCAACTGTGGAGGGGGCAACTTTTTTTTACAACTGGATTGTTATTCAGTTATTTTCCAGCAGCTTCACTCATCTTATGACGTAGTTGTGTTTTTGAAACTGTGTGTGTGTGTGTGGATCCTCTCTTAATTGCCATTGTTTTAGTGTACACAGTATAAAGGGCTCTTGCGTCATCAAATTCACACACACACACACACACACACACACACACACACACACAGTGAGGGGGACCCTGTCAACACCGGTAAGGAACTGTAGGGAGGAAGTGATGTCACGTGTGGGATGATGAAACTCTGGTCTGAAGGAGAAGAATAAAAAAAAGAGAAATAGCTCCCCATGCTGGATGATTTAATCTGTTGATGGAAAAAGAAAAGGAGAGCAGAAAGGAAGGAAAATAAAACAATATTTGAGGCACTTGCATTTTGGATATTTATATTTTCTGCTACTTTATACATTTTGTCCGTTACGTTTCGGAGGGAAATATTGAATTTTTTACTTCACTTAATTTATTCATAAGCTCTAGTGACTACTAAAATATTAAAAATGAAACACATAAGATAAGCTTACAAATTACATTACATAATTACATTAGAGAATAATTTAATGGCGCCCAACCTTTTTTTGTGGCCCCTTACATAAAAGCAGCTGGGTCCCCTCGTCATGTTTCAAATGAGTTTACGCACAAAGAGACAGTTCTGCCAACTGCTTAGAGGGTTTCATTTAAAATAATTGATCAAAACTCAAAGTGGTAAAATTATCCAATATTTCACAATAAACAATTAGAAAAAAAAAATATATTAGAGAAAAGTTTAAAGGGGCCCGAACCCTATGTTGAGAAACACTGGCCTACACTAGCTACCTGTAAAGCAGTTCAAACTAGCTCCTCTAACATTGATGCTTCAGTATTAACAATCCAATAATGTCAGATAGGATCATATATCAGTCACAGTACAAATATGTTTACATTTGATACTTTGGATACATTTGACTGATGCTGATTCCACCAAGCTTTGCGCTCTAAGAGTGATAACTGTGTAAACTGCCCCCGCTCCAACTGGTACAAATATATCAGTGTGATGGAAGTGTCAATCAGACACAGCAGTAATCAGGTAACATAAGTTAAAATGCCTGTGTGGAAGAAGTACTGTCTATACTTATATTAAGTTTTATAACACTGACAGGGTCCATTCTGGATAATGACTCCTTTTACTTTTCTATTTTTAAGTTTTTTCAGATAATAATTCTGTACCTTTGCTTGAGTAATAATCTGAATGCAGGACTTCTACTTGTAGCAGAGTATTTAGTCACTTAAGTATTACTACTTTTACTTACAAAAAGCATCTTAATACTTGTTCCGCCACTGACAGCACTTCATCACTTCAGATAAACATATTGAGTTTCTACAGGAACCTATTTCTTTGAAGCTCTGCTGACCCCTGCTGTCTAAAACACGCACACACACACTCAGGGTTGAGGGTTGTGCCTCAGAGACTGTGGACAGCTGTAGAGGTGGTGATGTCACAGGGGAAGGTGAACAAGATACTGTCTCATCAATCAATCAGTCAGCCAATCAATGAATCCATCTACTCTCCATTCCTGTTACATTAGCATTACATTATTTATATTTGACTTATTTTATAAACACAGCATACTTATTCAATAAACTATATTATATCCACATTAGGGGTGTAACGATTCACCAAATCCACGGTTCGGTTCAGACCTCGATTTTTGAGCCATGGTTCTGTTTCCCCATTTTGCAGAGAAACAGAGAGAGAGAGATGTTATCTGATATTACATTAAGCGGATACGGCAGAAACCGCCACCGCCGCAGTTACACTGTCTTAACGAGAGCTCAACAGTCCAGGGAGCGAGTGTGTCGCGGTTCTGTCTCTCGGGTCCGCTACACGAAACCGTGGACTTTTGTGTCGCGATTTCGGTCTCGGTTTCAGAACCGTTACAGCCCTTATCCACATTATAGTGAATTGTATTTATATTATACATGGTTAATTTATTAAGTCAGTACATTTTATTGATTCAATATGTCACTTTGCTCAGAAATATCACAAAATGAAGGTGCCTGCAAAGGGTGATAAGAAGATAGCAGGTTTTGGGCCTTCATTTGTGGTTTGGCTCCGAACAACAAATTTAAAACAATGACATAAAAATTTATAGAAACTATTGTTTGCATTTTGTTGTTAAGTATGACATTAGTCATGGAAATATTTGTCTGAATATTGTGCTTTCTTGTAGTACTTGAATGTTGAAGTGGCCCCCAGCCAGTTTGAATTTGAGACCCCTGTTCGAAGGTAACAAAAACTTAACGATTCCTATTTTCAGGTGATTGTACACTAATGAAAACATACCTTTGAATATTATATTGTATTTCTGCCAATAGATCCTCCTAAATGTTACCTTTAACTAGCAGTTCATATTTGTTTTTCATACCTTCTCTGTGGGGGACTGCAGTCTATTTGAGTCCTCATATACTTTGGGGAGGACGTCCTGCTTTCTCATGATGTATCACACATGGGGGTGTGGCCAGCAGAGCACATCTTCTGTCTTTTATAAATGGAAGGAACTGCAGCAGGTTTTAAGGCAGTAAGGGAGTGGTCAAATTGTTTCTGTAGGGATCATAAGGATGTTGTGTTTTATTTTGTATTTATCTCTTACTGCTGCAGCTGGTGAATGGGGAGCTGAGTTAAAAATACTTTAAATACGGGGGGCAGGTATAATAATAGATACACCAGGATTTATTTGTTGATTATATTTTGTATAAATAATAATTATATATATTATTAAATGTAGCCTATTGCAGCAGCAAGTATCCTATAAAGTGTAATTGTAGAAATGGCTTTAAATAAAAAACAAGTAGGCTACCTCATAATTAAGTAAAGTTCTTGACTAATGTACTTAGTTCCTTTCCACCACTGGTCCTTATAGTCACTACTATGTTAGAGATTTTGGTTGGCCCTCCGTAGTTCCCTTCCTAGGGCTCTCCAGCGTATTTCCTTCAAGCTCTCAGATGTCAGACACTCAGGGGGCTCATGTTGCCTTCCTCCTCCTCCTCCTCCTCTTCGGAAACGGGATGTGATGTAAATACACACCAACTTTTTTTTTTTTGTTCCTCTCTCTCTGGAGTGTGCAGATCTTCTTCTTCCAGCACATTGTTGGTGGAAAACTAGCAGCAGAAGGTATAAGAGAAGAGAAGCGAGGCAGACAGTAAACCCTCAGACAGATCAAAAGTCACCGTTAGTTTTCTCCACCATGATCCTGTGAGCTCCGACAGTCTGCCTCCGACAACCGACTCACGACCTGCCGGACTGGACTCCGAGAAAAACGGATCCAACCGGAGAGAAGCTCGCTGCTGTTGTGGATCCGGAGGGAAACCGCGGACAGGTAAACAGCTGACAGTTTCTATCTGTGTGTTATATAAGTGAGAGAAACAGGAAAGCGAAGCCGGGCGGAGGGTTCACACTGTCTGGAAACTTTGAGTGCATGACAACAGAGCTGAGATCAGTGCTGCTGCTGCTGCACACTGAGGCCTAGATATGATATCTGAGATCTTTGTTATCTGCAGGAGAAATGATCCAGGAACAGCACACAGATTAAACATATTACTCTGTCAACTCTATAAATATCACACGGGCTGGTTCCAGTCATGAAGACTAACTGCAGAAACATAAAATGCAACTTCAGATTTACAGAAATCTTCCGTGTGGATATTATAGGAGATATAAAACTCTGTAGGCCACTCTGGTAATATTAGCGATGCTACAGATTACATATACTATTACAGGATAAATAGGTTGGCCACCTTAAAAAGACTTATATGATTACTATTATGAAACAGACTGATAAAGTAGCCTGTTGATGTAGAAGCAGGATTAAATAGATAAAATGCCATCAAATACCAAAATCACTACAGAGAGCCATAGATGCACTGTGAGTTACTGTAATAATATTATAAAAGTTATATATTGCTTTAAGTAGTTATAGGAAGACAGTAGGAGCATGGAGATGACAACAGTAATAGGTGTGATAAAGTGACTATAAAGTCACCACAAAGTGCCACAGAAATACTAAATGAATGAATATCATTCTGAAAGTCAGCTGATGAATAATGTTCACTACTTACAGAGCTGATAAAAAGGAATATAATGGAGATCAGCTGCTTTTAACTCACTGTGGAACATCACAACAAGAACACTGTTTACCATATGAAAAATATGGATATATTACATTATACTATTACAGGAGATGTATATACACTGTAAGTAAGTAAGTATGATGGAGTGTAAACACAGTAGATTTGTTTAGATTAATCAGATGATTAATCAATTGGTCACTTATGATCAGTAACCATTTTAATAATCTTTGAATTTTTTTTTTTGCCGAGTCATTTGCAAAAAACACAAAATATATAATTGTCCTGACTATTTTCAGATGAATCAATAAATCAAGAAAATAATTGCTAGATAAATCCATGATTGAAATCATCTGGAATTGTATTTCTAGAACACACACATTCATGAAGTAAATAAAAGAAAATAATACAATAAAAATTCATTAATGATAAAGTAGAACTAAAACTAGGACCATACTCTAATATATATTAAATATACATTTTACACTGATGGTGTACATTAGAAGTGCAAGTCAAGGAGATGATATTTTGTGTTCTGTGCTGTAAGGATTGTGTATATTATATAAAAGGTAGCCTATCATATACTATAGAGATTAATAAAGAGAAAGTTATAATAATCATCATCACAATAATAAAATACTTACAGTAGCTACTACAAATAGAACAAACAGTAATCTAATGTCCTTACATTAAAGCATTAATGCACATTCTTTTTATTTTTTATTTACATTATCCTTTTTTCTGTATAATGTGAACATTTGTGCATTCATTAGTCAATATTTTGCACATTCCACCCTTTTCACTCTCACACTATATACTGTACAGCTCTTCATTTTACATTCTATTTATTTTAATTGTACATTTCTATTTTCTTTCTTCACGCTTGAAAGTGTGTTTGTAGACAGTTTCACCTCATTGAGGTTAGTTTCACCTGTCAGTTGAAGTCAACGACCCTAAAATATCGGTACTGTTGCTAAAGTTACTATAGTGACTGTGCCTTGAGCACTGATTTGGAACAGTGGGTTAACCTGACCTACGTTAGAGGTGAACACAGATATGACACCTACCAGCCAATCAGAGAGCAGGCTGGTAGGCTGAGATTTTAAATTGGTAAATAAGTCTCCAGTCTGCAGCGTTACCGTAAGCTGTGTATGTGTGTGTGTGTGTGTGTGTGTGTGTGTGTGTGTGTGTGTGTGTGTGAATGTGTGTGTGTTGCTGACCTCTCTACCCCCTTTGAGGTGTCTTTGGGATCATGTTTGGGTTATTTTCATACTCAGAGTTCAGTCAGCTCACTTTACAAGGACCAACGGATGGCTGACAGCAGAGTTTCAAACCTTTCAACACAAACTTCTCCAGAGTAATTCCTTCTCTTCCAGTCTCATCTCTTCTCTCAGACTTTATTATCTCACGTTAACTGAACATATTTACAAAAAAAAAATTAAAGTAAAGCTCCTTTTATCAACTTCCTCTCAGTTACTTTTATTGATAGCAGTGAAACTTGAAACCTGAAATTTGACATTACAGTCCCACCTCAAGTTCACGCCCTAGCTTTTTCCAGACCTTTCAACCACGTGATCTTCATCAGCTGATGGACCTTTCTCTGTTGTCATGGAGATGGAAGTGTTGTATGATTCGATTCGGGCTTTTCGGCCATGTTGGCTTAAAAATTATAAATGTATGATCACCGGAACATGAGAATCGCTGTGAGGGAAGGCAGCCATGTTGAACTGGCATGTCTTTGATTGGGCCCTTTGTGTTTTTCGTGAGTTTTGCAAAACTGTAGTTTCTCCTACATGCATGAATGGCTGAGCTGTATTCAAATGTCTGCAACTTCATGTCCCTGAATCCCACACAGGTTCATTCTGAGAGAAAAAGGATTGACAGCATTTTTGATTATTCATTCATGAATTCGGTCGTTTCACAAACCCAAATGTTTCTGGTTCTGGCTTTTTTAATGTGAGCATTTGCTGCTGTTATCTGTTATATCACAGTGAACTCTGAAGTCGTCATGAGCACCTTTTTGGCATTGAGTAGATTAGATGATTAATTGAGAAAATAATCAAAGAAAACCCCAGTAATAAAATAATTGATGACTGATCGCCTCAGCCCCCTGCAGGTATATTTTAACAGCTTCATGCTTGTGATACGAAGCAGTAAAAAGCTGATTTACTGTCTCTTGCACAGACTTTGAGAGGAGCCTGGAGCTACAGAGAGTCACAGAATGATTTCACAACAGCAGCAGTTGAGTGTTTGGCTCAGACTGTGAGAGCTGACAGCTCTGTTCACTCACAAAACAAACCCAAAACAAAGCATTGGAAGATATATTGTTTCACCCTGCTGCCACTCAGCCAAACAGGGATCATTCAGACGGATGAAGTTCAGCAGTTTTTTTCTGTTCATCACTCTGCCTGTAGGTCATTTGGGTGTCAGGGTGTATCTACAGCATTAGAGCAGTGTAGGTGTAGGATTGTATTTGTATAGTCCTGTGTGGCTGAGAGAAGAACAGCCAGTATGAGACCAGGTTCAGGACTCTCCTGCTGCTGCTGTTAGGTTTATATTTCTTCACAAACTCACATGATGTCTGTTGTTCTGTGTAAGACAAATAAGACACAGTTTCACCTCAGTCTGCGTTTGTCTTTGACCATCAAACCTCCACTGAGGTGAACCACAGCAGGTTTGTCCTCGTGAGGGTGAAAAAAAGCCTCATTCAGAGTTCATTCTCATAAACGTACAAAATGATTTGTAATTTAAAACACAGTTCTGCTGCTCTTCAGAGTTCCCAAACAATACAAGCACTAACAGAATATTTACTGCTTCAAAATCTAAAACTCATGTTTATTCTTCTGTTACTGACTGTGTTTTTGTGCAATGACAGGAAACAACATCATTGAAAAATGTTGTAGTAGCTTTCAGAGCTGCACTTACAGGATGTTCAATACAAATGCATGTCACTTCCTTAAAGGTCCATTGTGTAACATTTAGGAGGATCTATTGGCAGAAATGGGATATAATATTCATAAGTATGTTTTCATTTGTGTATAATCACCTGAAAATAAGAATCATTCTGTTTTTGTTACCTTAGAATGAGTAATTTTTATCTTCAGAGGCTGCGGGTTGCTTTCCATGGAGTCCACCATGTTGAAAAGCCATGTTTCTACAGTAGCCCAGAATGGACAAGGATTTAGCCTTCATAATAATGATAATCATTTGTCTTCCACATTTGATTTTTAAACTTTGGCATTCTAGCCTGCTCAGTGAATGTGCTGATAGAAAGCAGGGGACAGTCACATCACAGCCAGCTCTATAATGACATTTGTTGCTGTTCTGCTTTCTGAGACAGGCTTTGAACACTAGAAGTTAACAAGATGACGTCATCCAGGAATCTCTAGCACTCTTGCTTTCCAATAAAAGATAATTCGTCCCATCCCAATATCTACACTGCATTAGATCCAGATCTCTTCTAAAATCTCTCCAGCTCAACCTGGAGCCAGTAAAGAGATCGGTCTGTGAGATTCTTGCCAAAGATTGATCTATTTGAGATCTCGCATGTTAGCGGCTGACACACAGGAAAACGTGAAATGCAATCTCCTTCCAGCTAAGTCCTTCAGACGTTTAGATAAACGTTTCCAAAGACATTTAACCTCAGGTCATTAAGTCATCATATAAAGTCTTTGCCCCTCTTATCAGACTTTGATCTGAGTTATGATGCTCTCATGAGGCCTTTTTATATAAACACTACTTGAGCCGCACTGTTAAACACAAACACTTACAGGAAACAAAGTCAAAATGGCTTCTGGAGAAGTGTGTGCAGATAGTAGCTGTGGTTCGAGTGGAAGCAGCGTATTACAGATGAGTGTAAATGAGCGAGTGTGCATTGAGTTTCCATCTGCCGAGCCACGGCCAGCGGCTCATTAAACCATTAAAAAACCACACAGAGGATCTGTTCGAGGCACATGAAACTGAGAGGAATAACACTGAACATGGCTGCTGCTGAGGCGAGGCAATACAGGCAGACATGATCTGACTTTAAAAGGCAAAACTTTATTTAAATCAGGAGTTAAACATCACATAGAACCAAGAAGACTTCCTGGATTTATTTGCTTTGATAATAAATGTGTCATCATGTTCCGTCATCCTCGGTGAAATATGAGATCAGTTTGGCGAAGGCAGGAGTTCATTTCCTGTCAGTGTCACCTGCACTGTGAGATCATTTAGAAACATCTGTGCTGTCATATTAAGATTTTTATTTATT